TGCACCCAACTTCCAAGGGATTTGACCTCCTTGAATCTTGGATGTAATCATCACTTTAGTTGTAAAACTCAACATATTTTAACAAATTAATTGACCAGATTGAAAGTAAATTAAGATCGAAGTGAAAAGATCGTCACAATTTCTTAAATATTTTCATGGCTTCACCAATTCAAATCACCATTTCACAAATCTCAAGATAAGAAGAAGAACAGAGAAAAATGGGGAAAACATAACAAAACTCAGAATTCATATATAAAATTAAAGTCATACAAACTATAACAATAAATAAACTTATCTCTAATTTCTCCTCAAGAAAACTCCTTGAAGTTCATTTGAATCTCTTACTTTTTTTACAACACAGAATTCCTCTTCGAAGCAACAAGGAGGAAGAAATCTCTCACTTTCCCTCCACTCTTACAATCTCTCGAAGAATTCCTCATAATTTTTATACTATAGCAAACACTAACAGAACAATTCTAACCTTCAGGAACTCTAGAGTTTTTTGGCTCCTCTATTTTCGGCCAAAATCTTCTTTTAAAGTTGTGGATGAGTTTTTCCAAGAGTTGACTAAGCATCTCTTCAAAATTTATCCTTATCCACAGCCTGATTGGTCATAACCGTCGAGCTCGCCGTCAGTGGGGTTGATGGCGCCGTCGACGCCCTAGTTTAATTCTTCACATTTTGGGCTTTTTTCGCTTCAAATTTGCTCTTTTTTGTATCTTTTTGCTCCAATAACCCTAATTCATCATTCCTGCAACAAAATATCAAAAATATCTTTTTTTAAAGTGCAATATCATCAAAAACAGTATAAAATAGGTGTCAGTTTCTCCTTCATTGATGACAACATTATATCTAGTTGGATATTCCTCATGAATGAAATTTTGAAATTGTACAATCTTTTCTATCCTTCCATAACATGAATTCCTCTTCATGTCCATCAAATGTTTCTTTCTTGGGCATGCTTCTAACAAAAATGGGTACAAATTCTATTCTGCCTGTATAAGAAATTATTATGCCTTCATGTATGTTAACTTCTTTGAAAACCAAATATACTACCCTAAATATGATATTCAATGGAGAGTTCGGGTGAATAT